CGGGGGGGGGGGGGGGGGGCTTGGGGCTAGCAGATAAACACACACACACACACGCGCGCGCGCGCGCGTCATGCAACCCCGCGAGAACAACACAAAGTGCGCGCATTCACGATTCAAAGGCGCGCAGCTATACGAAGTCCGCCTGCTATATATGGACAAGTGTGGCCGCGCAACCCTCGCATGATGCAACACGAACGAACGCGCACGCGCGCGCGCAGCCAGTCGCGATCTTTTCAGTCACGTGAGTCCCTTCATCTCGATCGTCACGTGTTGTCTATTTCCCACAATTTGAATCAAGAAATGAATCACAAAATGTGAATCTTGAATTCAAGAGTCTCGTGTCCGGTTCATCAAGACGTGACCTCCAACTCACGACTTGCGCACAATACCTCCTTGCAGTCAGCGAAGCGAGTCCATCAATTCATCAATGATTCGAGATTTCTTGATCGCTTGGTTCGACTTATGACTCGAACCTCCTACTAGTCACGAGTCACGAGTCTCCCGCGCGGTGGAATCTGTTTGCGGTTCACACAAGACCAGATGACATGATCATGAATTCACGTGATTCTGATTCAGCTGGATCTGCTTCCTCGTCTGGCTTTGCGTAAACGACTTGCCGTCGTTTTGTCGCCAAGGACGTCCGTCTTCATCCGCTCAGCGTCACTCATCACCGCGTCGCCTCGTCACTGAGACTCGGTTTGAGACACCGAGTTCGATGGCCGATTCACGACACGCGTGACATGACTCTTCAGACTGCGTGGCAATTGCACACCCTCAAAAGTCCACATTTGCAGTCACACAGACTTGAGTGATGAGATTTGCAAAATCTTGCGTCACGAGTGCGATTCTTGATTGTTGAAGGCAGCAGGCCTCGCAAGACTTGTCTCGACTCTGCCAACCATGAACAGCGAGCGTCTCTCCTGCGTATGCCAGAGGCCCGCCATGCGTTGGATCGATGCGTCCTTTGACGCGCATTGAGGCCGAATCCATGCAAAACATCCGCCACTCACGGACTGGGCTAGGACTCAGACTGAGTCGTGAGTGTGACCAGATCGAGAATCAAGCATACTCACGGAGTTTGTGTCACACGAGTCTCGTCGATGAAAATGGGGCACCCTGATTAGAAATTTTGCGCAATTCGATCCAAAGTGCCGCAGTGACGTCGGAGCTTGCCGACGTCACAGTCACAGTCACAGTTCGAGTCTCAAAGGGCTCACCGCTTCAGGCATAAATCAAAGCGATTTGAATGCATGTTCCCAAAGCAGAACCAACGGGCAAGCAGAGCCAACATTGTCATTGCTCGCCTCTTGGACCCACACACAAATGATTCGACTTGAGCAGCCAGCACCGATCTCTCTGGACTCTCCAGTTGCATGGACTGCCAGTCTGCCTGCCAGCCGGAAGCTAGCTTGTGGATGCATGCGTGGGCAATCACGATGCGGTGCGTAATGTCGCAATCGAATCACAATCCCAATCACGAAGCTGACAGCTCCCACCAGAAGCAGATGATCGCACGGTGGATGATGAGCGGGTCGAGAGTTGTAGTCTGACGTAGCTAGCTGCACTCGTGACTCGTGACTCGTGACTTTCATGGTGACGGAATATTGTGAGTCAGAGTGTACGATCGAAAAGGTGGGTCTGTGATGACTTGATCTGCCATCGCACATGGCACATATATCGCTCGCATGTATGCGCTTGCTTGTGCATGCTTGACAGGCCGTGGCGTGGAAAAAGTGAAAGTGATGATCGCGCGCGCGGGATTGGATGGGTTGGACCCTGCGTCGTCGTGCGGA